GGGCCGAAGGGTTCAGAGTGTGGGAGGGGGCTCTGGGCTTGGGAAGAGAATTGGGGTGCAGGAGGGGTTGAGGGCCCTGGGCCCTCCAGTAAGCATTCAACCCACCACCTTTGGATCTGGCAGGCAAGTCACCAAGCAGTTCTCGGTCACCATATAACTAGCTATCATTATGTCTCGTGATTGAATCTCCTCTCACCACAACCTCTCTGCACCCTCCTGTGGCATCCCCATCTCCTGGTGGGACTAGGTTCATGATCAGTGATCAGGCCATTCTACCTCTGTGGAAAGGGGGGTCCCCTTTTAGGATGTTCGTCCTTATTTTCCACCTTGGTTCCCTCCCATAGGATACCAAATTCTTCAGCTGGTGGTTTGGGGCAGCCATTTCTGAGATGGGCCTTTTCTACAGTGCTCCTGCTGGCTGCTTCTATGAATAATTTAGCGGCACTCCACACGGGTGAAGGGTCTGCCCCTGTATATCATGTTACAGGATCAGGGTCTTAGTTTGCATGTGAATAAGCAGGTGTTTCCTCCTAATACCATATTAACGATCTGTAATTTCTGGTGTTACAAAATACGCATTACTGTCATCAACATGAAAGGTAAAATGACTTTAAACACCTTGCGATACCCCCTTTGTAACAACTGAAAGGCCTCAGTGCTGAAATGAGCACGCACACATTTGAGTAGCATTGTGAGGCAGTGAACCAACCCGCACAGCAGCAGACGCGTGTTCCATTACAGTGCAGCGCCTTGATGGATTTCATGTCAGAACCTAATCTGCCCTGTTGACCTGATCTTTAATGAGGCCTGTGCTGAGGTTTTTTTATGGTCTTTTAAAGGGTTTCCTTTGGGAGGCTAATTGAATACCATAATATAAATAGAAGCATTAATGAAATAGTATCTGTTCAATTGTGCAGTGATGGGAAGAACTGTATTATGATGTGGCTAATAATGAGAAGTTAGTTGATTTAATGGCTTTTCCCTGTGTATTTTTGTTACATTTCATTGTATTCCAGAAATGAATGGTTTTGAATGGTATTGTAAGCCAGGTTATCAAATGCTACAAAATGTATCCGCAAGTACACTGAATTTTTCAGGAGTTTTGCTGAACTGATTAATTTTCATTTTAAAATTCTGAAAACCCATCCCATCCTTAAGTTTAAATTTCAAATAATTGACTTATATTTATGCATTGATCTAAATGTGTAAGGTGCTCCCATCACCAGAGTATCTGGGCACCTTGCACATTAATTAGATTGGCAACAGCAGAGTCCCTAGTGGTCTCTAAGCCTTTGCAGTTTATAGAAAACTTTGCTTGATGGATCAAATGGATCCATTCCTATAATTATTTGTATCTTTACCTTGTATAAAAATCTTCTCTCAGGAAGCTGCTACTTTAAGTATGATGCTGTCTGGTGTTTTTGTGCATGCTACATATTATTGGTTGCGACGACTCAAAAGAGTCATGTTAAAGAAGGTTTCAGAGTAGCAGCCGTGTTAGTCTGTAGCCGTAAAAAGAACAGGAGGACTTGTGGCACCTTAGAGGCTAACAGATTTATTTGAGCATAAGCTTTCATGAGCTACAGCTCACTTCATCAGATGCAATGTAGCTTATGAAAGCTTATGCTCAAATAAATTTGTTAGTCTCTAAGGTGCCACAAGTCCTCCTGTTCTTTTTATGTTAAAGAAGATGTCTCAGTTTCACGTTTCAAAGAGAAATATTTAAGCAGCCTTTTGAGAGCGTGCAAACCCTCCTCCCATTCGAAGCTGCATGAAAAGATGGGCAAGTGTCTTACACAGAATGTTGCAAAACACTGATATAATTTGGCATGTCGAGGTTTCTTTCCCCCACTGAGTAGAGTTCGGCTACAAACTCCTCTCCCGTGCAGCAGGCAACAGTGATAAATTGATGCTGCGGTAGTTTTTTTTTTTTTTCCTTTCTTTTTTCAGCCGTAGCATAAAATGGTCAAATGATGTTCCACTGCAGAATTCAATTTCACAGTTCAGTTGGGTCCTTGATTACGCTGCCAAATTCAGATTAATGTGCACTTAACTAACACGGATCAGGGGACTCCTGGCTGACAGCCAGCAGTAATAGTAGCCACCGAGAGCTGTGTAGAGTTTTATGCCCTGTCCACCCCGGTGCACCGCCAGTGGATTTGATTGATTAAATGAATTCATAGGTATAATTATTTGTAATTGTGCTACATCATGAGCCTCTGTCTCTGCACCCCGCACCCTCCTCAGAGATGTTACACACATTGTCATGGGCTATTTTTGCTATGTTGTAAACAGAGATTCATTTCCAAAAAATTGCTTACATGTATTTGTGCCCATACCTTTTGGGTTTGACTAGAGGTATGGATGAGCAAACATCTTGTCTGAGAATGTAAAAAATTCATTTATTTTACAGAGAAGAAGCTTGAAAACACTTTAAGGCAAAGGAAGTTTTAAGTGGAAATAGGGCATGTGTTAGTTGTTTTTCCATCAAAGGAATAATGCTGACACTTGTGGGGTTTTTTAAAGCCTCCTATTGAGATAATTTCTTCCCAGATTGTCTCTGATTTCAAAGGAAAATTAGGGGTTGTATGACACTGCAGTTAAGTAGTTTGTCATTCTGGAGAATCATTAAAGAAATTAAATTAGTCTCCTTGTTGCTCATTCTGTCTTGCTTGAAGGAAGCCCGCTTTGAAAACGATGAAGACCAAACACCCATTTCAGATAGGTTATAGGCTCACGTAATCACTACGCTCCCCCGCACCCCTTAGTTTGAACTTTCATGGTTTCTGCTTATTGTCTGTTTAATCTATTGTAGCATTTGCCCGTTATAACGATGCTCAGATTATTGGGAAGAACAATAGGTGCAATACCAGTTTTGGGGAATTGTAAGGAAGACCCTGAAGAATTATAGTGTGTGAATCGTATAAGCAAGGCATTTGAAATGAATGCACCATTGTCATTTGAGCCATATAACCCTACATTCCTTCTTCAGTGCTGTTGTAGGAAGCTAGGACCAGTGCTGGTGTGCAGTGGTCTATCTACACGGAGCCGTTAGGGAAGTGTCTGCTCCACAATCAGTAGGAAAGGGCAGGTAACTAGAAATGGTGAGAGGTGGGCCATCAGTGGAAGAAATTTTAAGCTGGTGGCCGGGTCCAGTTTGCCCTGCATGTGACTGGGATCTAGCCAATCGAAATACGTCTATCTATGCTGCCAGCCCCCACTCCCTTCAATAGTGGCAGTCATTTGGCCACATTGTCACATTGCACAGGAGTACAACCAATGCTAGCAGGGCCTTATCACCCAGACCATTGGAGTGAGAACAACTTTCCAGCTAACAGTCAGTCCTGGTTTCATTCTAGGAGTGGTCTGTATCTGTATATCTGTAAATAGTTAATAGTCCAGGTACCAGGAGATTGTGGTCAAGAATATGTAGCATAGCTCCTAGGTTTTACAGGACCTATAAAACTCGTTGTGCATTGCAAATGGCTTCCTCTGTGCATCTCTTTGCCTCCGCTCTTAACAGGTTGTGATGCAGGTAAATTGGTGTTAGCATGGCAGTAAGGATGACAGTGTGGCACAGACATCAGCTGGGTAATGGATGCTGGATGGCAGCTACACACAAGTCTTTCCAGTGCCCCTGAGCACAGTAATTACTGCCAATGCACCCATTGTGTTGTGAACAGATATAGTGCCTGTCAGAACTGTTGCACTGTGCACCGTGTATTGCCATCTAAAGTTTCTGTCACAGTTTCTGCGTGTCCTGTTTGTTCTTTGCACCTCTGCTGACCAGGTGAGGGTCCATACATTGGCTGCCCTGTGTGATGTCTTTATGGTCCCGTCCATTAACGGTGCGCTTTGCAGGATTCAGGAACTAGGGCTTGATTTCCAACCCTGGTGAGCTCTCCTGAGCACTGAAACTGATTGGGAAACAAAGGTAGCTTTACATTCACTTGCTCCTCCTGTTTTACTCTTGTGAAAGCAAAGGGAAAATCAAGCTCAGTATCTCTTTCCAGCTGCTGTAGAGAAAAAAGGGGAAGAGGGTGGCTGGAGAAGGGAGGAGCTAACACAGCAAGAGACTTAAGGAGCTCAATCTGTTTATCTTATCAAAAAGAAGATTGAGAGGTGACTTGTTTGCAGCATATAGGTACAAGGACCAATGGCTGGAAGTTGAAACCAGACAAATTCACATTAGAAATAAGACCCAAATTTTTAACTGTGAGGGCGACTAACCACTGGCCCAAACCACCAAGGGAAGTGGTGAGCCACTAGATCAAGACTTGGATGCCTGGAAGGTATATTCTAATCAAACACAAGTTATTTGGCTCAATATAGGGGTAACTGGGTGAAATTCTTCGGCCCGTGATACTCAGGAGATCCAACTAGATGATCTAAAGGTCCTAAAATCTACATTTTTATTGTGATCAGAATGCACCAAACGGGTAATTTAAAAAAAAAAAATCTCTATTCTCAGCAAGAGGGTACCAGAGTGTCACTTTAAAAGGAACACATATTTAGGTCATAGAGGACACTTCCCCTCAAAATTATACCATCTGTACAGGAAGTCATGATACTGGGTATAAACAGATTGTTTCTGTTCCACTAGTCCTAAAGACTATAATAAATAAAGCAATAGGGATTTTTTTACTTATTGCCTCGGCAGTCTATGGACCATCAGTGATCCTTGGAGTTCCTCCTGGTGGTCCAGAGAGTGAAACATGCTGAGAACCAAGCAGGGGGTGAGGAATGGGAGTGTCAAGTGGGTCTGTGATTAGAGCTTTCTTTTACTAAATGTGCACAAAAAGAGAAAGTTGGAAAACCAAGTAGGGATCTCAGAAATTAGAAATCACGGTGGAGGTGGCCACGCTATGGTATTGAGGAATTGAGGTCTGACTTCATTGATAACATAAGGTTTAGAATGCTCATAATACCTGCAATTATTTTCAGCCATTGATCAATGCTGAATACAACATGTTAACTTTGCCTTGTTTTAATTTTTGCAGGTGGATTACGATCGAGCACAGATGGTAGTTAGCCCACCACTATCTGGATCAGATACCTACCCTAGAGGCCCAACAAAGCTACCTCAAAGTCAAAGCAAAGTTAGCTATTCAGGTAGTAGCTTCCAGTATCCTTCAGTCTATCACAAAGCTTCTCATTATCACCAGCCTGCCCTCCAGTCAAGCTCTCCTTATATTTCCACGGCTTCTTACCCAAGCTCCCCAAGTATCACGTCAGGTGCTTATCCCCCACCTAGCTGGGGTTCATCCTCCGATCAGCAGCCCTCCAGGGTGTCACATGAACAGTTCAGAGCTGCCCTTCAGCTTGTTGTCAGTCCCGGCGACCCCAGGGAATATTTGGACAACTTTATCAAAATAGGAGAAGGCTCCACGGGGATCGTTTGCATTGCCACTGAGAAGCACACTGGAAAGCAAGTCGCAGTGAAGAAAATGGATCTCAGGAAACAGCAGAGAAGAGAATTACTCTTCAATGAGGTAAGCCATTTTGGACGAGGGGACAATTTTGCAGGTTACTGATCACAGAGAGGAACAAAACGGAAATCCCCTCAGTGCCCAGTGGATAAGGCTTTAGCCTCCTAAGGTGGGGGTGGTGAGTTCAGTTGTAACTTCCTGAGTCACAGTCTCCATTTTGGGTGGCCCCTTACTATGGGCAGGTGATAAACCGACCATCAAGCCGAATATTTGTCACTTTTGTAAACAAATCTAAAACTTCATTTTATTTTCTATTCTGCCATTCCTTTAAATATCTCACTATGGGCTTAGTCATAGCTTTGCTGGGAGCCCAGCATTGTTGCCCTGAAGCTGGAGATGCTCTGAGTCAGTCGCCTGGTTCCCCGCTGCTCTGGGAAGGGAGGTCGGGTCTGTAATCTGTCCCAGCATATGTTCCTTGGCACCCCAATGCAGCCAAGGCTTTGCCCATTCCCTGCCTTATTGTGCCCACTCCTGCTCAGCAGCAAGGTTAGGGTGGCTCTTCACTGTTACCTGGGGTGTGGGTAGCAGTGCAGGGGCAAAAGGGAATGAATGCCTTATGACCCCAATTGCTGCTTTAGCTGGGTCACAAATGAGCTGTATATTATTAGGGTGTTTTTAACTCTCTGCATGTTGACTTTGGTGGCACCATGAAGAAGGCTTTGCTTGACTGATTTGATACAATCTCTGTTGTACTAAAAGGACAAGCAACAAGCAAAAAAAGAAAGAACCATTCCTGTTTTTATATTCAAAAGAAAGCTGTTATCCACCAAATATGATTTAGAAAGGATACTTCCTCCATCTTTCAGAAATGATTTACAGGAAAACATGTAAATATATTTGTTAGAAAAACATTTTGTGGTGTAATTAGGCACAAGGATTTAGCAAGGGTGTTAACACCATAACATTTCTTGAGTGCAGAGGTAAAAGAAGAATGGTTCAGAGTCAAAACGTTTCCAGTAACTCATGCACTCTTTGTCTTTTGCTTAGGTTGTAATAATGAGGGATTACCATCATGAAAATGTGGTTGACATGTACAACAGCTATCTTGTGAATGATGAGCTCTGGGTTGTTATGGAGTTTCTGGAAGGTGGTGCTTTGACGGACATAGTGACGCATACAAGGTATGTTTGGTTAGCATCATCTGTACACTGTTTTAGTGTTGAAGGCACCTATTCTTTCAAAGGTGCAGTAAATCCTGTGCTTCTACTAGGGCAAGAAGGAATATCTGGCTTTGTCTTGCTCATGCTTACTGCCACTGTCAGTTTATAGAAAGGGGGGAAGCGTTAGCAAAAGTGGGACTGAGTGCAATCCATGCCTGCTTTGTCCCAGCTTAAGCACTCAGTGAGTCAGTGGAAACTGATGAGTGATTTAAACATGGTTTGGTATTTTCAGCATCTGTCTAAAAGCGGACAGGTCTGTAATGTAATAAATTCATACTCCTGACAAAATGCAAAAACTCTGAGAACTTTACTATGCATTTAATCTAAAAAAAACCAAAAACCTGTTTCTGTCAAAGGAGTCTAGAAGCCAGTTAAAATAACTGAAAATGCCCAGCTCTGCTCAGTATGCAACAGGTCCATTTTTCTACCTTTATACTGATCAACTCTCTTTAAGGGTGAATGGAAAGTCCTTTTTGATCTGCTAAGGTTGGGGTTCTGTGTTTCTCATACAATAACTGTGTAGCTAATACCTAAAAGAACACAGGGAACTCCATAGGAATGAGGGGTGTCTCACCAACCATTCCAAGGGAAATACGGAAATGTTAACTTGGGTCTTAGCAGAAAGGTGATGGAGAGAATGATTTGCAACACTTACTAATATAAATGTATATATTCTGTTAGAGTGAAATCCCGCCCAGTCCCCTTCTCTCTTGTTTTTTCTTCCCCCTCTCTCCCCGCTGTTTTTTCTTGTCCCCATCCAAATCCAGAACTTTGAGGCTGAATTGCCACTTCTGTGAAGAAAGCCTGACTCCACTGAAGTCCATGACAAAACTCCCCTGGACTTCAGCTGGGCCAGAATGTCACCTCAGAGCCAGAGCTATATTAGGGAGGGGAGGTGGTGTCAGTATACCACATGAATGATGTTGGCTGGAGCCATTATGCCTGCATGACACAGGAGTAAGCAAAACACCTCCAGAGGTGCTGGACAACAGCATACTATTGGCAGCCACTGTTACCTCGTTGCAAAAGTTTACGGTGAGCTCCTCCCAGGGCTGGCCTTCCTCCCCTGGCCTCCCTGCAGACTTGCTCTACATGTCCATCGACAGAAGATGTCCTTTCCCCCTTCACTTTGCATTGTAGAGTGCAGGCTGTTGTTTTATGGCTACCTCCTTCATGAGACCCCTGAGAAGAAAAGAGCCTCCTGAGCCCTCTGATCCACAAAGCACCTGTGTTGGCACCAGCCATATTTTGGCCCTTCAGCCAGAGGCGATAACTCTGCTCATTCAACTATTGTGGAGAAAGGGACGTAGGATCAGAGCAGTCTTCCATCCAGCCCAGTATCCTGTCTCTAGTAGTATTCTTTACTAGCTGTATCTGAGCAAGATGCGGTAAACCCTGCTGTAGGCAGCTACAGGTTAAGAGAAAACTAAACCAGTGGCAACGTAAGTTCTTACTGTTAGGAATTCTTTCTCTGGTATAGCTAAAGTGGTACAATACCCCCTAGTGTATAAATGTGCTGGTGTAGCTATTCCCATTCAGAAAGGAAAATAAGATATACTGGGGTAAGAACCTTCATGCCTCTATAACTGCACCAACTTCAGGGGTTGGACTGGTATGCTTATTTCAGTTACAAAAATAGCACACCCCCTAATCAACATAATTAAACAGGTACCAAAGGTTACATGGAGCTCCTGACTTTATGCCTGTCTTCCAGCTTGCCTTCTGAATGGACAGATTTGATTTTGTGTAACATATTCCCTCTGTTTGCCACCCACCTTTTTTCCAGCACGCAGGAAGAAGGTAAGCAGGAGAAAAGTGTTTTACATTTAACCAGCAAAATGCCTTTCTCCTTGAATCGAAACCACACAACTAGCACATCTATGTGGAGGAAATTTAGCTATACACAAAGAAGAGGACTCCCAGTTTAACAACGAATAGCAATTCAGTCACAAAAGTTATCTAACAATTTAATAACATGTTCAGGTCACGGCTAAATAGGTATTGTAAAATAGATACTTATTTTTTAAGTGTTGCCTCAACTGATATGCAAAAAAATCTCGGCCATTGTAAGTCATTTGTTAACTACGCTGCCCGCCCCAAAACCACTCTGCCAAATACCTTTGACAGGAATTTAATGGCAAACAGATGTTTACAGAAAATGGCTACTTAAGAGCCGTCATCGTTTTTTGCAACCACAAGAGTCATTCCTTAATCTTTTTTACTTTTTCTGACCTTCCCTCAACAATTTTGCTGAAAGGTTGTAACATTTCCATAGCAGCGTGAAAGCAGAAGTCTCCTTGGTGTAATAGAGGGAGCTTTGGCCAGCAAGACAGGAATCATGCTCTTTACTGGCTCTTCTAAAGCGTAAGACGCGTGGTGAGTCACAGCTGAACTATGGATTGTTTCTACATCTCTCATTGAACACCTGCCACGGGATGTTCTGTGGACGAAGGCTGATGTGAAAGAGCAACTGATAGAATGGCTTACAGTTCACGAACTCCGTTCAATGTCATCATTATAATGATGGTATAGCAATGTGACAGGCTTCTTTTCCAATGCATATGTTTTTGTAAATGATGACTGGATAAGTTGTCTTATCATATGATTTATGAGGCCCTTCTTGAAATATCGTTTTAAATGTTTATTTGTAATGTATATCAGAGCAATGGAAATAACCCCTACATAATTGCACACAGGATGGGAATCCACAGATTTGCTCTGAAATCCAAGAATCATTTCCCTTGCTCATTCTCTTTCATGATTCCATCCCAGTAGTGATTTGTCCTTCTTGGCAACTATTGGACTTACTGCATATGAAAGAACTTCAGTTTCTTCAGAATAGGAAATTGACTAACTAAATACATTACATTGCGCTATACATTACATGTATTTAATGCCGCACACCTACTTTGTTTTCAAAATTTTTCCTCATGCTTAAATTTCCAAAAAGTATACCTGCCCCATTTTTTAAAGAAACAAAAGTGCAGTGCTGCTCTGGTAAGTGACTATCAAAGTGGCATCAAACCATTCCCTGTTTGTCATTTGTCAGTGATTTGCAGATAAAATTTACTTTATTTACAAGTAAGACGGCTCCCAGCCCTGCTAACTCAACATGTGATCTGAGAGTCAAACTATTTCCTTCTCACACATTATCACCAGTAACAAGTGACCTGTTGGTAAAATTAGGCCCTCAGTTACACCTGTGCAGCCCCATTGTCTTCATACCCACTAGGATGACCTCTGTAGCATCACCGGCATAAATGAATTTGCACAGATGTAACTGATTGGAACTTAGTAAAAGTTGAGAGTGCCCAGAAAAGAAGACAAGCCAGTTGACTTTCTTCTCTGTGTTGACTCTGCAAGACTAAGAGTTGCAAAAAAAGATAAAATTTTACTTCTGTTATTGAAGTCCAGCGAGATGACTTGGACACTGCGCAGGGAGCTGTCTGTTCAGCAAGGAGGTGTCATTTTTGCACCGTCACTTTTCAGAACAGAAGCACACTTTAAAGGCAGAATGAAGGCTCTGCGTCTCGAGATTATTTCCACATCTCAGTGTTTTATTTGTTGCAAGGCAGGGGTTCCTGGTCATTTGGGACTGGTGGTGCTTAGCCCCACCGATATCATCCCACTCTCAGTCAGACTGTATACACTGTCTGTCATGTAGTTACCGTTCTTCAGAGTGAAATACCACCTGCTGTCACGAGTGGTGCTGGAGCGTCTTTAGGCAGCTGTGGCTGCAGTACCATCTACTGCCGTTGGGGTCACCTGGGAGGGCTGAAACTCCTCCAGCTTTCAGAGGTCCTAGCAGCTCCAGGACATCTGGGGCAGAGTTAAGGTTGTTGTGCGTGATCTGTAGTGTTGAGTAGTTGAGTTGGTAAGGTGCAGGCCTGTGATTTGAGGAGCAGTGGGTATGTACTGTTGGGTAGTTTAACTTTTCATCTCTGTGCTGTTGTGATTTTTGTGTCATGTAGAGCAACCTGAACTGTTTCACAACAAAGTTATTAGTCTGTGAACATGAAAACAAAGTTTCTGATCCAGTGACAGTTAACTACATAGAGTCCTGTGCAGCGGGGGACCAACACGGAGTGACCAGTGGCTCTTGAGGGAGAGGATATGAGATTGTTCTTCAGGTCTCCTAACCCCTCCTCCTCTCCAAGAGTGACATCATCATTTAGGAGCTGACCCAGAGGAAAAAACTTCCAACCCATGCCACCATGTCACATTGGCTGGAGCTCCCTGGAAAGAGTTCAGTGTGATTTTTCTATTGTAATTCTGGTGAGCCTAGTTTCTATATATGGCTGTCTAGTGGACAGAGTCTGTGACTTTGACCTTGGCAAGGACAGAGAGCAATAAACAGTCCTGAGAGGGAAGGACATCTTAGAATGAGAAGCAGATGGGGCGGCAAATTTGGGCTTGATCAGTTCCTTTGAGAGACTTGGCTGCTGTCTATCACTACTGCATATTGACTTGAATGGGGCTGTGCCAGCTTACATCAGCAAAGGTGCTGGCCCATGTCCTTATCTGTTTCTTCCGTAGTTTATTCTTCCTCTCTTTTTACATGTGTCCTCACGCCTTGCCTTCTTGCCTTTAGAATGAATGAAGAGCAGATAGCTACAGTTTGTCTGTCTGTACTGAGAGCGCTGTCCTACCTGCACAATCAAGGGGTTATTCACCGCGATATAAAAAGTGACTCTATACTTCTCACGAGCGATGGAAGGGTGAGCGTTTAACATTTTCACTCCTACTGTATCTTTAACTGTGACAATCCGAATGATCAATGTAACTATCCTGTAACCAAATTAATGAAAACCCTATGGAGGGTTGCAGACATCAGCTGTTGAAAGCATGATATACTAATCTTGGCTTCACCTGCTATAGAAGGTCCATGCCTCACAGCTCTTCCCACAAACGAATGCAGGAATTGCCAGAGCATATCAGAACAATAGTCCTTCTAGTCCAGGATCCTGTCTCCAACAGTAGCCAATACTAGACTGAGACAATGTAAGTCACTGCAGCCTATAAAGGGTTAATAGATTTCTTCCCATCATGTGGCTTCTCAGGGGTGGAATCCATATGGCAGAGGAAGCTGGGTGAAAGGCCTCACTTGAGAAGAGGGTGTCCTCTTTCTCCTGACTGGCTGAGGCAGGGAAAGCCGTGGAGGAGTGTTACCAGCATTTTTAGTTGACTTATTTTGTTTGTGACCATTATTTATGAACAATAAACAAAGCCCAGAGGAAATGGCCATAAAAAGGACTTGGACATAGAATCTGACTCCCTTCCCTGGTGGGTGAAACAACCCACTAGCTTACACAGATGTTTTAGAGGAACATATAAAATCTCTGTTGTGTAGCACTGAGCCATGACAGAGTACTATTGTGCACTAGTAGCCTGCTGATGCACATGCTGGAGTAGCATGTGGCTGTTAGCGTATGGATCATTCATTTTATATTTCACTTTTATTTTTATACAACCTTCTTAAAAAACAGTCGCGTGCAGCATTATAGAGGTACCCTTCCACTACCAAAAATAGTTCCTAGTGAAAGGTGTAGGTGAAATTATATGTTTATTTGCAATATATGATTCAGGCACTTGATGTCTGTGTGGGATATAGAGAGTAAACATGGAAGACAAAGCTGGAACTCAAACTCTGTGGAAGCCAGATTGAATGTGTCAGTAGCTAGTACTCTAGTTCTTTTCTTTAATAAACACCTCACAGAAAAGGTGGCCTGGGATTTGATACACAATTGTGACAGAAAAGGATAGCCAAATACAACTGTGTACAGCATTGTTTCAGAAACCGGGTTAGGGGAGCTGAACACAGTTCATTCTGAGCTGCACTTGCAGTTAACCCACTGGTTCAGCTATACCTGTGACTGACACCCACTGTCAACAACAGCTAACTTTGCTAGTCTAGACAAGGCCTGTGACAGGGATCACTGGGCCCAGAGAAGGACTTAGTGCTGTTCTGTGAAGCAGTAACCAAACCGTTTTTCAGCTGTACTAGGGTCAATTTGGAGGTGGCAATGTGCCACACAGAATGGCTGCTGCCTGCCCCTTCCCTTACCTAACTGGCTACCCCCTTTCTACTCTTTTCCATGCAGCCGGACTGACATGCCATTTGGTGGAAGGGGTAGCTGTGGGAGTGGGGACATTCCTCGCAACCCTTTTTCCCCCTCACATGGCTCCTCCACATCACTGTTACACAATATCTGTGGCTTTCATTTATTAACCATGCCTCCGGGAGGGAACTATTCAGTCCACATATAAAATATTAAGGATTCTTTAGGATAAAATGTAAGGTATTGGTATTATACTGGGATACTGACACAGAGATTATCCTGTGCTACAAATTCCAGGCAGAGCAATATATCAGACTTATTCTTTGTATTACAGGAGTGCTTAAGGGCTTCATGCAGCAAAATGCATCCACATTGTGCTAAGTGCTGCACATAATAAGAGTCCCTGCCCCACAGACCATACAGTCTAAATAGACAAGACAGACAAAGGGTGGAGCAAAGGGAGAATTGTTATCTACATTTTTCAGATGCCCAAAGTCGTACAGGAAGCCTGTGGCAGAACAGGGACTTGAACCTGAGTCTTTGGAGTCCAAAGGTGAACTCCTGGCCCCATTGAAAGCAATAGCAGAACTCCCATTGACTTCAGTGGAGCCAGGATTTCACCCTTAAGGCTTGTCTACACTACCTGCCGGATCAGCGCGCAGCGATCGATCCAGCAGGGGTCAATTTATCGCGTCTAGTCTAGATGCGATAAATCAACCTCTGAGTGCTCTCCCATCAACTCTGGTACTCCACCAGAATGAGAAGCACAAGCGGAGTCAACGGGAGAGTGTCAGCTGTCAACTTTCCGCAGTGAAGACACCACGGTAAGTAGATCTAAGTATGTCAACTTCAGCTACGCTATTCACGTAGCTGAAGTTGTGTATCTTAGATCGACCCCGCGTATTAGTGTCAACAAGCCCTCAGTCTGGCACTTTAATTACAAGAGCATTCCTCCTGATTTGGTTCCTTTTATTGTCTTCACCCACCAAGAGGGTATATTCTTCCCTTTGTAGGTATAGGTCACTCCCATTAGAATTAAATGGGAAGAAAATTCCATACATGTGAAAGTTGTTCAGTCTTGTCTCTAGTAGTGTTGCTGAAATACCATCTGATCTGCTTCCAGGGTCTGCACACAATGCCTCATTATGCTCATTACTCTAGTACTTATTATCTGCAATGCAGATTTCTTCATGGCTATGTTGTGCAATTATCTTTTTTTAGAAAATCGTCTTTTTTGTATGTACTCAAATGAGCAATAGATATGCAAAAACTGTTACACTCCCACAAAAGAGCTTCCAAACTATGCACTATTTCATCTCTTCTCCTTGCTGTAAACTGAAAAATATGTTTAGCTTGGACAACTTGGATATTATTTGCTTTGTTTTGTAAATACCCTATAATTATTTCTACAGTCTGATTTTATAAAAAACAACTGCCCTCACGAAAAAATAGCATCTCCATTGAAGCCAAAATAAAACAAATCAGCACTGATAATAAGATGCTGGTCTGCACAATGCATCAATTTATTGAGCTTCCTCTTTAACTCTTCAGAGAGCTGTTCAGGTTCATTCCTTAACCACAAACTGCAGACCGACATGGTAGGCGAGTGGCAGACACCCCCGATTTGGTCGCCTTAATGTACCCTCTCTGCACACATCGTACGTCATTTGACAGTGGATTATGTCGACTTTAAGAGGAGCTATGATGTGGAGCTGTCAAATGGTGCCATTATCATAGACACGGGGATAAACAGTGATACCATCAACCCGTTAAACTGACCATTTTGAAATATTTGCATTCAGTTTTATGACTCTTAAGTATTATCTCAAGACATAAAAATGGATTCTGTTGTGAGCTCAAAGCATCACAACAACAATCTAAAACAAAACCTAATATTAAATTCATACAGGTATCATTGAAACGGATTAGCACTGATGACATTTCTAGTCCACATCATCATCATCCTGTTCATCATTATGATCTGACGAGAGTCCATGGGTTACCATAGTCTTCATTGCCTTGGCATGTACACAGTTGCATGCAGGGAAGTTGTTCTGACTACAGACGCATTTGATTGTGCAGCGATCCCTATTGATACAGGCACAAATAAGGTTTTGTGGAAACACAGTTGCCATAGGGCCCTTGAAGAATACAGTAAGTAGTTCATCATCCACATTTTTCCATCCATGTTGGTGATCCAATATCTGGTTTCCCTATGTGCGAAGATATCCTGATTTTTGTTTGCCAGGATGCTCTTTTGACCTGCTCTTCAACACTGTCCTGACACAGTGAGAGTTTGGCTGGTGGCTTGTCCTTCCTGATTGCTAGATTGAGGCAAAAGCAATTCAGGTCTCTGTGATCTCCTTTTCTTTCTCACTGTGGTCATACAGCATTGCTACCAACTTCCTTGCTGGAGAAATTGCGGCTTGTCTGTCACTCTGGCCCAGTTTGGCATGATCTCTGAAGCGGTTAAGCTCCCTTTATTTTGACAACATTAAACCCAGAGTTTTTCCCAGAGCCAAATAAGGTTGACACAGAGTCACATCCTGTTAATGTGCATACAGCAGGAAGTATGTTGCAGACGTCAGGAGTGAGTGCATCACAAATTGCATGCACAGACATGAAGCATCGCCTGTCAGCTGTGCTAGTAATGTCTGTGTCAGTCCACATGTTATCGATATGTTCCATATTTGGAAAGTTGTGAACAGCCAGGATCAAAACATCTGTATCAGGCGACCTAACTACTATCGTTCTTTGACACCAAGAGATCCAGAAGCTGTATTGGCACATAGAGCACATATAAGTGACTTTTCTTTCCCACGCTTCAGTGATATTTGTTATGATGCTGGACTGTCTGCAGACTGTTCTTGAAATACCACTCTAGCCACTGAATGAAATAATTCCTTTCCATCAGTGGCCTCTTGCACTGATGTCTGTACTATTATCCTCTTCATGGAAGAGATTTCCACCAGCATGAAGTTGTACACAGCCATTCGGAATGTACACACCTCCCTGGAGTCTTTCGACTTCCGTTTTTGCAACACTAGTGATGAACTACCTCCGCTCATCATAGCTGATGCAGAGTCTATGAAGGTGTAGAGTATGTCAATTAAACGGGGAGACCCAAACTCATAGTGTCGCTGTGCAGAAAGGCTTATGTGCAGTGGTGTAATAATTTTGGAATTGTTACATACTCTGCAATTGAGAGGCACCTTCCTTGAATGTCTTCTGAAGGATGATACTCATTGCTGACTGAATTATGTGCCTCCTTATCTATCAGCCAAAGGACAAACTACTGCACCAGTAAAGGCACCAAAGTAGCTGACATCTGTAAACTGCAGTCACGTGGCTTTAGATAACATTCAGAGGTTTTCATTGTGGCTATTTCAGATCAAAGGATTGAAGTAGCATTAAGCTGTTCATTAGGCTCGCTCTCCAGATGAATATACTCAAAACTTAAATTCCTGCTTCAGATTACTAGCAGCTTGGATAGCATCCACTAATGTTATTGTGCTGTGTAGAACATGGTAGACTAGACTTGTCCATGCTGTGCATGGAATAAAATTGCAGAACCAAAGTGCTTTTTCTAACCTTGCCTGTAATTCACTAATGGAATAGCTTTCTACATCTGAGGGAAGTAGGGCTTTATATCTTTGTAG